AATCCGAATCTGCGCTACTTCTCATGAGGGGCCAACTGCGGCGGCAGTGAGTAAACTTTCACGTATGCCCATCGAGTTATTATTCTCTTAAGCATCTGGTTATACAAACTGAAAAAACATAACGTTTTTGTAGTTTTTGTTTAATGGCTTTTTAACTCCTGAAAGGAGTTCTTGTCATTAAGTTTTATCTTATTGACGAATAGAAATTATAATGCTTCTTGGAATGTTCTCTCAAGTTATATTTAAATGGGAGTGTTAATGAGAAATATGTTAATTTTCATGACTTTCCTTGTGTTGAGAAATAATACATTAGACACTTATTTTTTAATTTCAAAACCTTTAAACGCCACAAATAGAGCCTGCACCCCTGTCTGTAAGTTATCAGAAAAACGCAATTGCATATTTTTTAACGTCTGTACTATTTGCTGCTTTTCACTTGTTGTATAAAGAAAAGTAAGAGAGTAAGAACAACCTTATAGCGTTGCAGAAATGATAATGTTTAGATTGAAAAAGCTTTTGACCGAAGCAATAGTAATCAAGTACTAAAGTTCTACTATGCACCTAGTTTTTACTTAGCGATTTTTTTTTTGGTATTCCCCTTCCCCCCTCCAAATTCATACATTAGAATGTTGTTATAAAACTTTCCAAATTTTGTCTATGTGGATTGTATGAATCCAGAGCTATTTCGTCTCTATAAAAAGTTAAGATTTCCCTGTATTCTTCAAAGGTGGAAATATGCTATAAAATATGTATTTTATTTCAAAAGACATTAAAAAATTCGAAAGTTAAGTATAATTCGAAATGATATAGTTATAGATTGGGATTTCCTTGCATTCTTCAAAGGTGGAAAAAAGCTATACAATATGTATTTTATTTAAAAGACATTAAAAAAATTCGAGAGTTAAGTATAATTCGCAATGATATAGCTATAGATTGGGATTTCCCTGTATTCTTCAAAGGTTGAAATGTGTTATGCAATATGTATTTTATTTCAAGAGACATTAAGCAATTCGAAAGTTAAGTATAATTCGCAATGATATAGCTATAGATAGGGATTTCCTTGCATTCTTCAAAGGTGGAAATAAGCTATACAATATGTATTTTATTTCAAAAGATATTACACAATTCGAAAGTTAAGTATAATTCGCAATGATATAGCTATAGATAGGGATTTCCCTGTATTCATCAAAGGTAGAAATATGCTATACAATATGTATTTTATTTCAAAAGACATTAAACAATTCGAAAGTTAAGCATAATTCGCAATGATATCGCTATAGATTGGGATTTCCCTGTATTCTTCAAAGGTGGAATTATGCTATACAATATGTATTTTATTTCTAAAGACATTAAACAATTCGAAAGTTAAGTATGATTCGCAATGATATAGCTATAGATCGGGGAATTAATAAACTAACTAATGAGTGCTTAAAGAGCTCCATTCCTAGAAAAAATTCTGTGGTAATTGATTTTAGATTATTGTTAAAATATATGTGATCAATAACATGTGACTAAGTAAGCATAAAATAGTTGAGCTATTTTTGCAATGAAATTTAAACTATGATATTTTACGCATCCCGATATTGAGCAAAACACCATATAACAAATTTGAACGTTTTTTTCTGACCTTTAGAAGAAATTATGTGATTATAGTTTGTACAAAAGGTGCTTGATTCATATATCAAAAACGAAATGATGGTGCAACACGCAGTTCTGTTATTGGAGAATACTCGCCAAGCTTCGAGTGAATTCTCAAATATCTCACTTTCTAATGCATCTTGAGTCAGTTTCAGTCATTGGTATAAAACATGTCCAATTAGATTAGATATAAATTGATATTAGGATAATCAAGAGAAGTTTTAGTGGCTTCAAATGCGTGTTAACTTCGTTTTACAGAATCTCAAAAAAAAAAATGTATCATAATACTCGAGACAAGAGCAATAAGATTCATTAGTGTAAACAACAAACTATATTTTTCTTTCAGTTGTGTTCACAATTGCGTTACTAATGAGATGGCTTATTAGTTCCGTAAATACTAAATTCGATGCGTAGACTGGCATGAAGGAATAATTTTGTTTTTGCAATATTTGTAATTAGTATATATATTATAGAGGATTAACACTGATATATTTCTTTTGTATATGTATTAAGGAAGTTTATTGCGGAAGTTATTGAGTGTATTACAGAATATTTTTAGAATTAAGATCCTTAAAAAAAAATTCATGATTAAAAATTTTTATGTTGTAGGATTTAAAGAATATATGAACGGAAAAAGGAAGGAAAAAATAAAGGTTAGTTATCCGTTTCTTTGATGAAAAACAGGAAACTTAACCTTTGATTTTTCGTAAAATAAGAAGAAAAACAACATAAAACTTCTTTACATTAATTCTATTGTTCACAAAGTGTTTTGCAGACTTAGAGAAACAAAGGGTACAATTGTGATTCTGTTTTTTAATATTTTTTGACAGCTAACACGCGTTGAAAATAATAGTTTTCATTTTTGTTTTATTATATGAAATTACTTAGAATGAATTTTACAGGGGATGAAGAACTTTAAAAGGAACCATATTTAAAATAATAGGAAGCTTCAAAAGATCATTTTTGGTGAAAATAACCTAAATTTTAAAGAGATGGCAAAATTCCTAGATTTTAAAAGCAATTCAGACATTAAAAAATGCATAAAATTTTCAAAAAAAATTTATGTTATTATTCCTTTATCTACTATATCCGCAATTGTCCTCAGAGAAAGGAAAGTTTTTTAAGTATTGAACTATCAAATATTTAAGAAAAAATTATTTGAATGAAATTATTCAAAATTATTACATTAAAAATTCATTTTTAAAACAATGTAAATATATACAAATATATATATGNATATATATATATATATATATATATATATATATATATATGAAAATACGCTAACAACTGAAAATACGTATTATTCTGAAAGACTATCAAACAAGTAATAGTCAAATCACTACAACCAAAATACGCTTTTTTTATAAATACGAAAAAAAAAATTTTTTTTAAATATTTTTTTCAGAAAATATCCAACAACTAGTTTTTCAAATTCTTGATTTCGCCTTTCAACAAAAGGCAAAGATATTTAATAGAAAAACTTCTTGATTCAAAATTTTATTCCATGAATAATAAATAAACTATTAAAAAAAATTTATAGAATTATAAAAATCATACGCATGGGAAATTTTCTGTGAGAAGAAAGCTTTATTAATTATTTTCAAAAAAGTTTTTATTAGTTTTCGTATAGTTTCTAAGAAATGGCAAAAGGCCACAGAATGTAAAAATATCCTTAATCTATTACAGCATTTTAGAGATATCCACTACTTCCTTAATTTATGAAATATTTTATGTAAGGAAAAATGGGATTTGAAATCAGATTTTTGCAACTTAGTTAATTTCTAACAATAATTAATCTGAATATTTAAAATATGTCCCTCAAATATCATTAAAATTATATTTTAAGTGCATGGAAATGTAATCGGAGTGGTTACCAGTAATTTAGGTGAAAAAAATAAATTGTATAATTTATTTTTGATTTATTGTGTTTTAGAATAAGAGGATATTTAATTTTATTTTGTAACCGTCTTTGAGCAGTCAACCTAATTTTGAGTTTACGACTACCAATGCTCAGCTTCGTAGCCTTAACTGTAATGCTGAACTCAATTCCGAAGATAAGGGAACTCTGAGATTAAATATTGGGAGAAATTTTTGTCTTCGTGGTGGACTTTTTGATGGAACTAACCTGCGCTTGTGTTATATGGAGAGGAAAACCATGAAACCTTCCATGATTAGTCTGAGGGAAAGGGGACTCTAGTGAACAGTTTACCACGTTACGTCAGCACTTTGGTCATTGTATATCAGCACTGTGGTCTGTTTGAGGTGACAGCGGAACTCGTATCCACTAGCCATCGCTGGGATTCGAACCCGGTTCACGCTTTAACTCCTGAGCAAGCACGCACTTTCCTACGGTTTGTGTCAATAAAACATGTTAAGTGGTGGCGAGATGCATACTACCATCTAATTTTTTTGCAAAAAATGTGTTTTTTTTGTGCATATCAATAATGCAGATCAGCATATTAGCATATATAGATAATATCAGCATATCAGTAATGCGACGACATAGATAATATCAGCATATCAATAATGCGACGACAATATAATGTTGCCATAGTTTTATCTTTTTATTACTGCCCTAGTCGTCGAAAATAAACCTCAATCTATTTCAATTTCTTTCCCATTCATTGTTCATTTACTCTTCCCTAACTGCAAATTGACTTTTGATCTGAATTTGCATTTTATACAATATTTAAATTTATAGTAAATTTGTATTTTGATTTGAAGTTTTCTATGTTAGAAGATCAATCATAAGAAATTGATAAAATTTCATGATATTTCATGAAATTTCTGAAGTTACAAAATAATTTATGCATATTTCTGGAGAAATAGGAAAAAATTTATTAGTGTAAAAGTGTTTCCACTATTTTCTCCCCCCTCCCTGTAGTGACAAGAGAGATGTGACAGGAAAGAATGAAGAAACTGAGTAGCGTGGGGAGAGGGAGGTAAAAAGTATTGTAAAAAAATATTTGACATCATTCATGGAGAACCCAAAGTTAACTTTTTTAGTTACTGCGATATACTGTTTAGTTGGTAAAAAAAAAGGAAAAAAAATTGAATTAAAAAAAAAAACATTTGAAGTTTTTCATATCAGCTGAATTTCAATAAAGAGTGAAATTAAATCTTATATGGTGTTATAATTCAGATACATGCAGACTTTTTACATTCTTTTAAAGAAAACTAAGAACTTTCAACATTTTAAAGTGAATAATAAATTTATAATCAATAAAGCAAATTTTCAAAAATTTTGTGTGCTTGATCCCTTAAACATGAATTTATATTTTCATTCATTATTTAAACCATAATTTTCAAATAACAAACATATTATAAAAATGAATAAATAATTAAAAAGAGATGCTTACCGTGTTGCGTCATTGTTGGTATTAATAAAGTAAGTGTCAGTGCTAAATCGTGATCAATACTAAATCCGGGGTCAGCCGAGTGTTTGAAATATCTTTTTCCTCGTCCTCGGAAGATTCATTAAAATATCAGCAATCATTCAATTGTAGTTTTAAAATGGAGAAAAACTTTCCGAACAGAGCTTCAAAGCACTCATAAAATAAATTTTTCAGTCAAAATTATATCAACAAACTCAACAATAATAATTTTCATCACTAAAAAAATATTTAAACTTATAATTCCATATTTGAATTTCCTTTAAGTCAATCTAAGGAGCGTTTCACCTCTTTGCGAACGCGTCACCTTAATCCTGAATACACCGGAATCCTTCCCACTTATTCATCACTGCCGTGTTCTTCATCATCTGAACTCTGTCCTTACATCAGTTTTCTTTTCTAAACTAGTTTTGCAGCTATTTTTACGCGTATCTTCTCTCTCTAACGATGTACATAGGCAAGAATGAGAGTCTATTAGATCCACTTCTTTATAGAGTCAGTTTTTACAATTCGAATGCTTGAGTAGTTCCTATAAACCGTTCGAAATCTTGTCAGTGACCTTTGGCGATTTAACAAGAATTTTTACTTACTACTTCATACTTCCGACATGAGGGGTTAAAAGAATTCTTTTCAGTGAGGAGTTCTTCCGTCAAGTGATTTACACTCGGCGAATCTAATTTCTTTCACCTTAAAGAAAAGAAATTATTTAATTACTAGCTGAATACCCATTTCGCATATGGGATGAAAAAAGTATATAATAAATCTCGGATGCAATAATGCTGCAATATTTGCAATTACAGGATGCAATTACAGAAAATTGCAATTACAGGAAATTACAATAATGCTGCAATTACAGGATGCAATATTTTTTAAGATGTAGGGCCTTTGCACGGTATACTCTAATTTGATGGGAGTTTTATTAAAAAAAGTTATGGTCAATTGCCCGGTAGTCTCTACACTTACGTTATTTATGGCTAGAAGTTACTGTCTGGTATTCTCTAAACTGACATTCCAAATTTATCATTATTGCAAACGTTGGCAAAAAGAAAATTCTATACCAAGTGTGCCTTAGAGAATAAACTTGGAATTGAAAGATTCACCACTCCATCTATCCTCTATTAAGCGAAGACTAACAGAGAAAGTCAACAATACTACATGACACGGAAATTACTTTAGGCTAATTTAAGCCACAGTCATTAAAAACAACACTAATCTGACTAATTTTCAATACAAAAAGAATCGCTGATTCAAGGAACCGGGCAGAAGTGGGTAAATGTTTGCGATGAAGTGTAAACTTTATGAATATCCCCACTATCAGTTCTTACTGAATAAAGAGTTGTTCGTTCGAAAAAAATCCTATTTATTTAATTTTTAATCTAATTTTTCTATTTCAATAACCAATACAATTTCAATTTTTTAAGCTATTTTTTCTTAAACACTTCAATTTCCTAAATTATTTCGATTGATAGAGACATGTGTCAAAAGCGTAAATAAAAACGAAATAAGCAAACAGTTTTAATAGTTTTCAAAGCATGCGTATTTCAGTAAAGATTCATATCAGGGATAGCTCTTTATTCGGTGCACGTGCAAGCTCTTGAATCTGCATTTATAGTTTCTTTTGGAACGTTCAGTTTGCCAATTAATTTTTCCTCACCGAGAAAAGAAATTTCTTCTGTTTTGTAGCCATGTACACGCGTATTGGCGATTTATTTAAAAATAGATATCAGAAACATTACAGATGATAGTACATGATAAATAATGTATGCATCATTAATGTTATAATATAGAGATTAAAAATGGTACAAATCAGAATACGATAAGTATTAGTAATGTAATTTTAATACATTGCCTTAATGGGAGTGTTAGTTTAAAATATAGATAATATATTAGAGTACTTATTCCTAATAATAATAGTATATATCAGTTATACAGTGTCTCTCAGTAATGTTACAGTATATTGACTGAATAGTCCATATAGAGTACATTTTTAGTAATTTTAGTAGTGTTGCAATATACATAATATATTTGACTTCTAACCATTATGCAACTTAGAAATCATTGAAACATAGCGGTGTTACAATTGAAACTCCCATAAACTTCCTAATCCCAAGTCCCAAAATTCCAAGAACTATTTTAAAAATCGATTGGTCAAAGTTTCTTCTTGAGTACTCTATTTTCTATTTCTATTTTCTATTATCTGCTTTATTATGTATTTTCAGCTTGATATGTTTAATTTTGCATTTTTGTCTTAATTTGTTCTATTTTCGTTTAAATATTTTTAGTAATCCACGAACTATTGTATTGATATATTTTGCGTTGGTTAGATTAATACAATATTACTAACCACTCTTGTTTGCGGATTTAATCGTGTGAACTGATGACAAGATTATATTTTTTTCCTTATTTGTTTTTCAGCTTTTTAATTTTAAAGTTTTTTAAATTTTTTTATTTTACTTCTAATAATTTTTTTCTTCTCTTTTAAAAGTATTTAAAATTTTTTTTTCCATATTAAAAAAACTATAAATATATACTTCGACTAAATGTATTTTTTAATTTTATTTTATACGATTCAATCAATAAGCACAACTTTTCTTCTTCGCGAAATTTGTTTACTGTTATATTAGTATTTTACTTTTAAGCCTAAACCACATTTTATTTTGCGACATGCCGGTAAGGTTGGTTTCTGCTTTCTTTTATTTCATACTCTTTTTCAACTAAATTTTTTAGCGATATCGACACAGTACAAAGAATAATTTTTATCTTAGGATAATTGTTCTTTACTCTGAAATATCGCATTAAATTATGCCATAAGATGAGTCCTGAGGAAGACTTTTGGTTTTTTCCCATTAATAATTTTCTATTTTATGTAATTTTTATATAATTTTATTATTATTTGTATTTATATATAT